ACATGCGCGGTCATAGATTTTGGATGCACAGAGGTCTGATGGAATTTAAGTCAAACAGACATGAGCGCACCCTCTTGGGCACTCTGACGCTCAGCTATTGAGCAATGCTGTTTGATAGCGGTAGCAGCTACTGTGATCACAAAATGGGTTCAGCAAGTTTTTAAAACCACGAGCACGACCATCAAAAGTCCATTCATTTACTAGAGATCGCAACAGAAAACACAGCCAATGTACGGATTCTCTGCATATCTAATCTAAATCTAATTCTGGTAGTCGAATGGAGCCACAGAACCAAACATTTGGGCAAAGAGGGTGGAGTCTGGGTGGAACTGAAGGAGGAGGAGGAAGTGGAAACCAGAACAACTGGTTGTGAAAGACACCTGTTGATCAAGCAAACATGCAATAAATCTTCTCTTCAGGCTTTAGCATCACCTGAGCGGAGAGATGATTCTCAAAATTGCTTAAAAAGGTTCTCTCTATGAAACTCAGAGCATTAATATACAAAACAACTCGTTGCTATGTTATGATAAAGCGGAGTAATGTCTACCTGAGCAGAGAAAGAAGTTGCTCTTCCTCTGTGTGTGGCAATTAAAACAAAAAGGCTCTGGATATTAAATTTAGCACCTTTAATAAAAATGAAACCTTATGCAAATACAGATTATTTCAAACCAGCATCTACCAACCATTTGTTGCACTTTGTCTTAAGCCACTTTCACAACTACCGGTCATCAGAGTGGCCATTTGAACCCAACTGGTTGCTCATGGTGTGAATGTATAGGACGAAAGCAGTGGTTAATGGTTGATAGTGGCCAAAGCACACAAGTGTCCGTGTGCTTGTAAACCTTCCACTGGCCTCACCTCAGCGTGCAGGCTATATGTGTGTGCATACATTGTTATCACCTGCAACAAACACTATGGGCCGCTATCTGGGCTCAATCTGCTCTTGGTTTACTGAGGAGGAGTGCCAAGGGTTATCTGTCCCACTCTGATATGCACAGATAAGGACCTTAGGCCCACTGTTTAAACACCTGGGGCCCGGGGTATTAGAGCGCTCTCCGTACCCCTTTGCCACAAACAAAGAGGAAATGGAGGAGTGAGCGCTGGCTGCTGCTGCTGAGGGGAATGTGTGTAAAAAGTAATGATGCGAGTGTGTGCGCGTGCGGAGGTTAAAGCAGGGGTGATTATTTCCACCACTCCCACTTCGTACCCCAATGCTTCTATCAATGCAAAGAATAACTAGGAAAACAGAGAGGAGAAACAGGGACTCATTGACTTGTTATGTTCATGTACACCCTCGCCCCCGCCATAAAAAAAACCAAGGCAGAGTTAAAGCATTGACGGTTATCAGTAATGTTTAACGGCTATATGCTGGAAAAGCTCTCTTTCAAAATAGGCTCTTTTTCACTTATGCGATGTACATTACAGCGAGGGTCAGTCATTTGCATGAGAATGGAAGATTAAGTGAAAGAGATAAACCCAAGGCTAGTTCCCGTGAATTGGCTGCTGTGTTTGGAATACCAAGCAGTGGAGGGTTCTTTCTTCTTTCCCCCGCCACGGCCGAATTAGCCCCCTGTATCATGCATTTATTTTCCCAATAATCACTCAGGCCCTTCCTGTGTTGATTATTTTCTCAGTGCAAGGGTTACTAAAATATTGCTGTAATCCTGTCTCCCTGAAGCAGCAGCAACAGTCACCCTGGGCTCTCTTTAAGAAATACATCTAGGGCTCGTCAGTGGGGAGGTGGCGGGGTGGACTACTGGGGGAAAGGGGGGGGGGGGGGGGGGGGAAGAGTTGTCATGGTGAAATGGGGATTACTCGCACCTATAATGTATTGACTTTCATTAAGCTTTATACATTTCTTTGGAAGATGATTTAAAGATAGAGGGCTGTATATCACTTGACATTTTCCTGTACTTTTGCCAAGAGTTTCATTACTCGCAACAGAAAAACCTTGACGCCTCAATTTAAAATGCCAAAGTTCTCCAATATAAACACAAGCAGCCATACAACAACTTGACCTAGATAAAATGGTCCAAAATTAGGAGCTATGAGATGAAAGAATAAAAGAAAAGAAAAAATCTGACCAGTCGTTAAATGACGTTTTATTGATGATTGGTGCTTGATTTTGATCTGTACGAGTTTTTGATACCAAACCCTGCCTCAAGGTAGCATGTCTTGGAGTTGTGCAATATGATATTACGATGAAATTAAAATGTCTCCACGATCTGCCTTTACAGAGAGATAGTTGGTATTGCGCTACATTGTGCGTTCTATTAGTTGCAGATCTATGGCCCCAGTGTCTGCCCTGCATGCAGCAGTGCTGCCGCTATACAAATAATTGCAATGATAGATCTAATGAATGCCGATGTGAAGAGTGGTTCATATGGATTTCAAAAAGTAACTGATACATATTTGGAAAAGTAACTGATACATATTTAAAGAAACTTTAAAGTGTTCCATTTCAGAACAGAAATTGTTGTTCTGTTATCTTGTATGACTAGTTTTTTGTTGTTTTTTTTTTTTTTTTTAAATAGGAAATATGTGGTTGTACTGTTCAGTAGCAAAATGGTCTTAAAACCAACTGAAAAAGAAATGTGATAAGTCTGTGGATTGTGATCCTGCCTGAAAAAAAATCATATGATATTTTTGCCGTATCGCCCACTCCTTGCATCTCCTGTGCTTACACATCTTATCGGCATACATTTCTATATCCCATAGGTGACTCCTCACACACCACTTGCGAAGCCAATGTATTCAGTCTGGGTGGGGTGTTTTTTTTTTTTTAAGATACAATCCAGGGCACAGAGGAATGAAAGGGAGCAGAGACTAAATTTATACAGGAAGTGGGCACTTTCTGGTTCGTTCATTTTAACATAGACGCGCACACACAGACACCTCACACCAACGACCTGTGCCACATCTGGAAATAATTACACTCATGTTTGACTTGACCTGCCTGCACCAAAGTCAACTCTGCCAACTTTTGTATGTGTTTGTTGCAGAGGTAGCAGTGACCCTGACACAGTGGCTGTGGGGAAATGATGTGTAATTAGTCAGAGGGAACACGACTCCGCTCGTCTGAAATAAAACATCTTGTGTTCACATCAAAAGAATCGGGCAGCTTGACAGGATGTACACAGAAAAAAACACAGACTTGATATGCTATCAAATGACCCACATTGGAATTTGTGAGGACACGAGGAGCGTCTGAATTATCAAGCATCTCAGGGTAGCACCGCAGACCTTTCATGTGCGGACGGCAAAGCAGACAGCGGATGATGCAATGTTTGATTTCTACACTTCAGGAGGCTGTCAGGACAGCACGTACAATATTAAACAGTGTCGTGTCGGTGTATCAACCCGTCTAAATTAACCCATTAGTATGCTATGGGGAGAGGCGGGAAGATCAATGCATGAAACGGTTTGGAAATCTCCTTTGATACAAGATTTCCCGGCTTGAGCGAATTGATGAAATTCCTCTTGAAACACAGGCAACCATTTCACATATCAGACTTTTCTCAAGACGGAGACTAATGTGGCCTGTCCTTTAACGCAGTCAGACTACAATACTGCATCTCACACAGAAGCTATAGTGCATGGTAAAGCTTTTGTTAAAGCCTGCTTAGGAAGAACTGATCATAAAGCAGAACACAATCCACTTCTATAGTTTTTTCTTGTTTGTTTTTAAAGATGCATAGTATCAGTCTATGCAGACGCATCCCTCTTATTCACTTTGCATGAAGGCCACACATATATACACTTTCAAAAGTAACTGCCAACACCAAAAACAACTACGAAGTATCTGACTCCACCACATGTTCAAAATGGAATAAGAAAAACAAACACTGCACAACAGTTGGTGTAAGGTTGCAAACAAGGACACTTCTCTTTGGAGTAAAAGCCATTCTGTAATACTCAGTATTTTCCTAAGACAACATTGAGACCGATTTAAAAATCGAGAAACTTGGACTGAATCAGCTTTTAGCCGTGCACACCAAGATAATGGCTCAAGTATGAGGGGGCGGAGGATGGGATTCAAATCCTCAGGTGAACTTTAACCACTGTGCATTCCTAATGATTTAAACAAACATACAGGGTGAGAAGATGGCCTTCATGTTACAAAAAGGCCTCCAGTCACAAAAACACACACAAGAAGTGATGACAATACATTCCACCAGGTGCTTGTGCTCTGACTGGGCTGACACAATTTTTAGAATATGAACTATGAAATGAAACGCAGTTTTGAGTTGCAGATGAGTATTTTAAGTGCAGTTGCCTTGATGTATTTATATACATTGACTGAAAAAGCGGCGCACGTATTTACTGCCACTCCCCTGTCCTAGAACTACCTCCTTGTCCAAGAGCCCAGATTCAGCACTCATTTCCTGAGCTGACCGTCTACTCTAATTATCAAGCTAATAAGGGCCCCCCTTGTGCAGTTATGGGAAAGGGGAGGTTAGTCGAGTCCAGGATGAGGGGGTACCACTTTGGTAAGTGTGTGTGATAGCTGCCGCCCACATCTTGTAAGGCGTGACTAATGGTCTAAGACAATATAACGGCAGCAGTCACCTGGGCAGTTATTGAAGCAGTGGATCTCTGGGCCTGAGCCACACAGTCCTAAGGTTTGTGTTCGTCAAAGGATGTCACCTACTCATATTTTATATGAGCTTGGATGGGTTACTGATTTTGTTACTTGTCCTAATCCCTGACATACAAAATGAATGGTACTATTTTAAGGCAGAAGAAAACATAACTAATTTCCCCTGTTGCCTAAAAACTTCCTAAGTCAAAAACAGGTGACTAGACAGGGGGGTAAGCCTTTTAATTTAATCCCTGTTCCCCAAAGCAATCATGTTGATTGACAGATTTTCACTTTCTGCTGGATATAATGCAAACTACCAAAGCAAAAAAAAAAAAAAAAAAAAAAAGGCTGAAAAGGACCTTATATTTCAAGACCAAAACAACTATCAAGCAGCTACTCAAAAGAAAACTTGTCTTACCTGTGCTGCTCCACAGCTTCGTTATCTGGTAGTTCTGCACCGCAAACATTGCAACGTTCGTGCTGGTTCCTGACGTCTGGTTTCATGCCCACAGCCAGCTCCCCGAGCTTGCTGAAGAATTCCCTCTGGATGAAGCTCTGAGGCAGGAGTCCCCCGTAGGCACTGAAGTCCATAGACATTGCCAGGGCTGGGGACATAGGGAGATTGGAGGCCATGGATGCCGCCATGGATGCCGGCATGGACATGAAGGCATCCGATTTATGATTTGCAGGTAGGGAGTACAGCGAGGCAAGATGCTTCTCCGTCATCCCAGCCATTGCTTCCAGCCCCATCTGGCTGACATCAACTTGAGGGTCGCCCATGACTTCATCACGGACGTAATGTAGCTCGCGGGCACTGGTGATAACGCTGCTCCTGGTTGGTGTTCCTGGACCGTCTCGGTTCCTGTCCTCCCCACTTCGTTCTCCATTGCTGGAGGCACTGGACTCCAGGTTCGGAGGGCTGTCGTGACCGTTGCCACCCATGTCCACTTGCATCATTTCTGTCTTGATCTCAGTCATCAGGGGGTGGGAGTTGCCATGGAGAACGTGCTCACCCCCAAAGCCCTGCTGTAGCAGAGACTGACCGATGCTCATCAGGCTGTCCACAGCAGCTTTGGTGGGACTTAGGGTGGAGACACCGAAGGAGGTGGAGACAGAAGGACTCTGGTCCACCATGCCAGTCATGATTGTGACTTGTTGGGCACCTGTCAAATAGGGACTCTGCATGGAATGCTTTTTGGAGTTCTTGCCTCCATTGTGGCCTTTGCGCTCATCATCCTCCTCGGTGCTCCCATCATTGAGGTTGACCTCCGTGTCATTGTCATCTGAGGACTGGATGGTTTCCAAGATCTTGAGGCATTGCTCTTCCAGGTATTCAATCTCCAGGATCTCTGCTGCATACAGAAGGTCATCCAAGTCCTCCACCTTGGCCTGGAGCGTGGCAGTGTATGCATACTCCAAAATCTGCTGAAAAGTCTTTGGTGAAAGAAAGTCCAGGGTGTAATGCTGACTGCTGCGATGGAAGAGGATCTCAAACATTTTGCTTGTGCAGGCCAGCACAGTCCGGTGAGCGTGGAACTCCTGGCTGTCTACCATGATGACCACGTCACACAGAGTCCCGGCCAGACGCATCTGGTTGGCCTTGTGCAGCAGGGCAGTGGGGTGGTTGGGGTTCTGGAGCTGTATCATACCCATTTTAGACAAATCCATGATGTCGATGCGATCCACGAGGCCGACTCATGAGGCTCGCCTTCCCCGTTCAGCAGTGTTTTTAGCTATCTTTGTAAACAAGATGAAACCTGGATGGAGAAACAGAATGAAAAAGAAAAATCGGTTCTGATAAATTCTGAAGCAACAGCACAAAAATGCTGTGCAGAACAAATCCACTAGTATTTAAGCTATAAAATCCAACAAATGCATTACTATTTTTTTCCAAAGATTGAATTAATTAATGTTCTTTTTTAATGAAATGCAAATTGTCATCCTTCACTTAAGTATACAAAGCAAAGTAAGTAATTACATTTTGAAAATAAATGTCATGAATTTGTCAATACATGTATTTCGTGTATACCGCTATTTATTTTGTAAGTGAGAAGTCAGTGTTGTTCCAAATTGCAAACATCCTGCAGGGATGGTAAACACTCTGTGCAGTGAAAATCAGCGGAGAGCATTGACTGTAGCCTTCTGAAGAGAGACAATTTGTGAGCCGTCCGACAGGCTCACCCTGCATACCAATCAGTCCAACATATGTTACGTTAAAAAGAGGTTTTCATTTGGTTATCTGACGGCGATGAACACACAGTTAAACAAGTGTGAATTGTGGTTTTTCCACTGCTGCCTCGCTCGCAAAGAACATCAGCGGCCTTTCTGAAATTAAATAGCATCTTACTCAGTATTCCCGTCACAGACAGGAGCAGAGAGCAGCGGCCAGAAATGGATGGAAAGCAAAGCAAAGCAGAACAAGGCGAAAGAAAACAACGCTGCAGCACCAAAACACCCGGATCTGCTCTCACTCACTGACGTTGAATATCCAAATTAATGACTGCATTACTCTTTGTATGCAAGTTATTAACAGGGCAACATGTTGCTTCACCTCATATCTACAGCATACTCAGACCAACACGAAAATAAGGAAAAGGGTTCAAATTCAAATGCCTCACCACTCTGTGCTTTAAATGAATGATTGTCACTGTGCCTCCTATGTTAACATGATCATTAAGACATACACTGAAACAATGCACTCTTCATTGTGGCAATTAAATAAACAGTCTTTCCACCACATATACGCTGAATGAATGGCTACCAGCTAAGTGTCTCCATTGACCCACATCCTGGATGAGCTCATTGACGTCCAATCTACTCAATTTATTCAACATATGACCATTAACATGACACATATTCACAAAGTTGTGGTGATCATTTTTTTTCTGCTGATCAACATTTTCATTTCAAGTTTCAAAAGCTTGATTGACATTTTAAGAATCTTCAATTTCATTTTCAAAGAGCTTAATTTTCTTTTCAAAAATGGGGACTAAAAAGAGAAGTACTTGAGCACTTATTGTCCTTCCTCCCCGCCTGAGAACAATACACACTCACACAGACAAAAAAAAAGGAGAGGAAATATCAACAGCCTTCTAGCCAGCCTCTCTTTTTTATTTTTAAATAACAGTGTAATTCCAGATATGCATGCTCCCAATTACAGAAGCCTAAATCAGAACATGCAGGAGGTAAATGAAGCTGGCAGCTATTGTCTGTGGTGAGGGTCGTGGAAAATGCACAAGTCTTGTTGGCTTTTAGGACACAAGACGCTTTGTTTTTTTGGGCACATTGATATAATCGATATAGGAGGTGGGTAATGATGAAACCACCGGTTCTCATCTAGCGGAGCTCAGCCTCTCAGTCAACAGAGGTCATGTTTAAAACCCGACATTATCTTTATTACAGCTATGCCAATAACTCCGATTTATGGCCCCGTAAATGATCAAGGCTTGTTGCGCTCTGTGGGGCTTTCAACCAAGCCGTGGCTTCAGCGGGACACAATGCAAAGTTGCCGTTTTTGGGGGGGGGACTTTATCGCGTCTGTTGGCTCTCTATTAATAAAGGACGGGGCTGCGTGCGTCTAGACGGCGTTAATATTCGCCAGCCGTGCCAGACAAATTATACAGCGCGTTATGCATTATGCAAAACACCACGCACTACATTAACTACATTAAGCCGGGAGGGCTGGAGCACGACGTGGACCGCTGACAATAACCACATCGGGCCGACTTCACAGAAAGGCACCACAATCAATCTGATCACGAGTCGTCTGCCACAGCGCGCCGTGGCGACCCAGCCACAACAAGAATAAACAGCGTTCAATATTCCAGACCACGAGCCACACTGACAGACGCAAATGTGGAGAAAGCAAAATGCTACAGCGTCTCTAAGGAGTAGGGGGGGGGGGGGCAATCAGAGACATTGAGCGTGCTAAAAAGTATACACGAGACAGACAGCTGCCAGAATCTCACGGCGATTCCAGCCAGCTCTGCTCAGACCGACGCACAGGTGGACTTTGTTTGTGGCAGAATGAAACACTCAAACGCTGGCTCTGTACAGTTGATGAGAAGGAGGAATGATCTAGAGAGAGATGCCTGAAGGGTGAAGAAGGGGAGGAAAAAAAGAGTGAAAGGGGGAAGAGAGAGATCAGACAGTCTCGATAACAAATCAATTTGCCATTGCCTCTGTTACCAGTTCCCCCACCTCACACAGTATGCCGCGCGTGCTCCTGCGAATCGATTATTGGTCACCAATCAAACGTCTAGTTGCCCGTCAATCAATTGTAGCGTGACTTGAGCGGTGGCTGGATTTGGGCTTGTTTCGAGTAAAAAAGACCAGTGTCCCCAGTCCTCCTCGTGATGTCATCACGGCTAAATGAGCCACACTGGTGCGACCGGAGATACAAGGACGGGCAAGAGTGTCGCTGTCTAGAAAAAATGCACAATTTCCATCAAAACGCGATTTCTCCAGCAAAGTCACATGGAGCGGGGCGTCATATGTTGTCTGGCTCCCGGTGAAACAGCCAGACCTCACGTCCTCTAGCTGCGATCTCCAGCATACTAAACCAGACCAGGGGGGAGGAAGAAGGGGGGTTACGTCAACCTTAACATCTCTACAATAGACTACCGTGCGTTAATGCAAACTTTAACACCTTGCGGCGCAATCAGGAAAACACTTGTTTTCACCCAGCGCTCCGGTGCGCAGATCCAACTTGCGTGCCAAACTCGCGTTTGCTGTTAACTTCAGCGTGAGGTTGAACGGGGACAAGCAAAACGAATCCCCGGCGCTATAAATGCATCCAAATATCCACATGGTGAATGAAAGTACACAGAGAAAACAGTGGTAGATGCATGCAGAGTAGCGGGTCTGGCACTTGTCGCCGGGAAACTGCAGCTGCGTTTCGCCCGGATTGGTACTCACCTAAATTGCACGTTTTGATTCCGTATAGTGTGAAGGGGGAGTGGGGCTACAGCATAGTAAGGCAGTTCGCAGTACCCGCTCTCTCAACACGCACTAACTCCTTTCTTCCTTCGCCTTAGCAAATCAACACGGCGCTGACGTCAACGCAGCCAGTCAGCCAGACGAGCAGCAGGCAGGCGGGCGGCCGGCTCTGCGCTCCAGCCACACAAACGCTAAGAAAGTGAGACACCTAGGGGGCTGTCTCATGTCAAACGGTTGTGTTACAGTATGGCAGCGAAAGGTGAGCGACGTTGTCCTCCCTCCAGCTGTTTGGATACGCATACAGCCTACAGTTGTTCTCAAACTCCCACCAGGGGCACACTTAATGGTTTGGCGGCCCTATAGGAAAAGTCAATAAGTGTACTCTAAGCATTCAATGGAACTATGCTCAGTCTATGTGTGTGCAGCAGAGGACAGCAAAGGTGAATGCAAAGCAGCTGATCCATCCTGCTTGACAAGATTCATTTGGAGGAGTCTTTAAAAAAAGATATTCATCATATATTTAGAATATTTTAAAAAAAAACGTACAGAAAGATAACACCACTCCAAGTTCTTGCATCTCAACAGGTTAAAATCTGCCATCTCAAGATGCTACAAGTGTTCACAATAATGTATTAAAGCTGAAGGAACAATACAAACTTCACTGAAATGTGTAATGTTCAACTAAGGTTAACAGGCTGCAGATTCATCACTCCTCAGTGGGGATCTTGTCTGAAAACACACAGTTTGGTTAAGTTGTTTGCAATATATTACAAGGAAAAAACACATGGCAAAAATCTGAAGCCAAATCTATTATTGAGCTCTGGAATTAGATTTTCGAAAGAAATAATCTAGCAATGGATTTAAAAAATCAAATGTCATTAGCAGAAGCAGTCTAGTTTTAAGATACTGACACTAATTTGAAGAAAGGCCATGAAACTAAAGAAACTGCACTGGGAACTATAGAGGCACTTCTTTTCTTGTTGCATGAAAAAAAAAGGCCATAATGATCGATACGGTGAACGACTCTCAGGCGAATGGTTTTGCAGTGCATTAACAACCCTTAATTGTTTCTTAGCATAGCTTTAATTTTCCTCTTGCTTTTTTTCTGTTGACCAATAACCAGGATGCAGTGGATGGTACACCTCATTATTGTTTGGCCTGACATACCTCTTGGAGTCTTTTATGGTAAAAGCATACTTTAGAGCTTCTCTGAAAATAAACTTGATTGATACGTTTGCCTTAATGATGCTCACTGACTGGGGGCGATCTCTTACCGATGGTTTCATGTCACAATATTTTAATTCTATTGTTGTGTTCCCTTTAAGTGCTCCTAGTGAGCTCTTACTTTGTCATTGTTCCCAAAGTCACGAATGCAAATCGTCCCACATTTAAGCACTTTGTTTGTCTCAGATTGATTTGAAAACCATGGCTGAAGCAGGAGAAGGAAGAGAAGAATATGATCACAATGTGTATGTCAATTTACAGGATATCTTTCTTCTTCGTCGTTGACATTTATGTTTCCTTTTGACTTTGTTGAACCCCAAACCTTTCAAAGATTGAAAGATTTCCTTTCAATTATCCAGTGAAATATCTCAACATGTACTGGATGGACGGGCACATAATATCGGTGTTAGATGATGTATCCTAATGATTTTGTTGATCCCCTGACTTCTGTGTGTTGCACCACCAGCAGGTTGACATTTGCGGTTTTGAGAGGGTTTTGTTTTGAAAAAAGAATATTTAGTCACTTTCCAGTCTCAGGCTCACGTCAACACTTCACAGACTGAGAAGTGTATCTGATAAAATAGAGGCAACGGACGAGTCAGGTCGGACCAGACCATGTGAGGGAGGCTGGGGTCGTCCAGTGTCTGCAACAGATCACTCAATGTGTTCCATTAATCAGCACCGGTTGACAGCACACTCTGGTTTGTGGCGGTGTGCTGAGGAGGAAGCATTAGCATTATCATCAATATTAACAAATAGCAAAAGGTGTCTCGTAGCCAAGGGATAAAGTTTGGTCAACAGTGTTCAAGAGTTGCCTGCTGACCTTAAAAAGGTTTGTTGACTGACAGTCAAAACAACCGACGACCGGCAAATACTTTGGCATGACATTACACAGCAGTTCAGTTCTACTTGAAAGTCTTCACGGCTATACAACAAAGCTTCTTTAATAAATCCTCTCAGACACAGCCATTAACGTTTGCATTGGTTTTCCAGATTCAAGGTATTGCACATTTTAATTTCTGGACTAGTTTGTTGTGAGTTTTCCCAGAGGCTGAAGTGGCTGGGTTCCTGTGACAGTCACTATCCTGCACCAACTCATGGACTGTTAACCTCCCATTAGCTTTAAAAGAAGTGATTGTCAGATTGTCAAACACTGCATGAAACCCAAAACACTTACTTCTGTTGCCAAAACCTAACCCAGTGGTTTTGTTGTACAAAAAACCTTGTAAACCTAAAAAAACTTTGTAAACATTGGAAGTTTTTTGGGGTTTTTTAGGAGACTATGCAGGTAACTGAACCAAAACTGTATGTTTCTTGTGAACATGGAAGTTTGTTTTAAAAAGACACTATGAAAATGACACACACACGCATGTTCCAAATTGAATCTGAAAGGCAAGTGAATGGCCAGGGGGTCAGATGTATGACAGTGAGGGAGGGTTTGAACTTCTCTCTTAAATTAATTTGTACGAATTAATTTACACGAATTACACGTAAAAGACATCATTCTTGGAGAGAGATTGTGGAGGTAGTGGGATGCAGCAAGACGGCAGGCTTTTCACTCCGCCACCGAGTGTGGCCATTCTAGGTGTAAACACTTTTACCTTTAGCTGTGGTCAGACCACATGATTTATGACCTTGTTCGTTTGAAGCATACTGAGACCTTGAGTTACGCTGCTGCTAATGGCACTTTTCCCTGGTTTTACTGGAAGATGTTTTTCAGCTCTATACAAGTCAGATTGTTGGTTGAAATGTCTAGAACATTAATTTCACATATTTAGTTTTTCCTGAGTACAAAAGGCACGAAAGTATAATATATTCGGCAGTTTTATGTCGGTTCTTCACGTCTTCGTTTGTTTGATTTGATCCTTTGTTATGAATGTAAAGTTAGAGCATTTGCATGGAACAACTCTTCTCAAAATTGTCTCACACTTGGAAAATAATTGTTAATTTGCTTAAGTGTGAAATTGATTTTTTTTACAAATAATTTTCAGAATCCTAAATGTGTAAATGTATCAAGATTGCCAATGTATTGTTTATACAATCCAGTCCTGATAATCTATTGTTATATTTGTATCCATTTCCTATTTGCCACTGCTGCATTGACCTACTTTGCCCCATTAAAATCATTAAAGGTTAATTTGATCTAGTCCATCCACTGCCAAAATAATCTGTATCATGGTAACTTTTACAAAACCAAGGATGTTGGTGCCTGAATGAAAAAAAAAAAAAGTCAAAGCGCAATTCAATTAGAGGACAATGCAATCCATTCTGGTAAAGAAATGAGTTAATGTGTTTAAATTTAGCTTCCATGCAGCTAAGATAATTGTTTTATATTTAAATGTTGGGTTCAAAACAACACAAACGAACATGTCCTTTGCAAAAAAAACTACAATTCAAAACTATTGTTTAATTTCAAAACGGCAACAGGTCTCGGTTCTTGCACCAGGTTATGAGTAGTCACACAGTTTATAGCCGTTTCAAAATGGAAAGCATAGGTTTGAAGGGGGCTTTCAGGGAAAGCTCATTTCCTTTAAAATACAGTGGTGCTCTGGGAATTTTTAGATTCATCCGGGCACGGATCACAGAGTGCTTCATTACCTTTGAGCTGCGTGCTGTGCAGGCTTACCCAGGGATAAAGAAAAAGGCACTCCCTTAATCTGGCAATAATCCACCGTTTTACTGAGTGAAAGGAAGATGAGGGCTAAATTATCAAAAAAAAAAAAAAAAAACATCATTACTGCACTTTAAAATAATACCAAGAGTTAGAAAAAGATGGGCTGCCCGGAGGAAGTTTTAGTTTGTAGCCGAGGTTGAGGAAATGTGACCATTAGCTGCCGGTGATTCTACAGTGGGTTGCATGTGCTTCCATTGTGTTCCCACAGCTTTATTTTTTTTTTGTGGAGGAAGAGGTTGATCGACTATAAAGAAAAGCCAAGATGAATTCTCATCCAAAGGATACTCTGGATATATGAAAAGGTCTGATTTAATATCAACTAAATAACTTTATTTAGTTTAATTGTATTAACTTTCATGCTAATAATAATTGGAGCAACCAGAATGATCAAACTAAACTTAGCAGATTTGACCTGGAGACGCTGATGGAACATTACAGACTTGGCGAGTCACTGAAATGTGTGATGCCTTATAATTTCATCATTTGATACAAAATGTAAAAAACGTTTCAAGCAGTAAGGCTGGAAATATGCAGTGTACCACATGAAAGGAGTTGATCCTACTAGTATTATCTTATTCCTCCATAGATTAACCTTCATTGTTGTACAAAAACACAGCAGTGAGCCTCAACATTGCACTGGGTGACATGTATATTCATTACCATGATCAGAGGCACTGTATTTCATTTCGTGTGAATCCGACACACTGTCCTGCTGCCTTGAATACTCACTATATCATCAAATTTATATCAATGCGTCGCTGAAAATAGTCCAATAACCCAAACAACACAAGAATAATCTTTGAAATTTTTGTGAGGTTTGCTGATTTTATCAATAATCTTTGGCTTGTCTTACTCTAATGAAGTTATTCTCAAACCATTTATTTAACGCATCATTTAAATTATTACAGTACAATTTATTTTCCCGAGCTATTTATTATTGTTCACAGTGAAGCATGATGTAACATTTGAAAAGGTTCAGTCAGAAGATGTTTGACATAGAAGGAATTTGTAGTTTCATTCTTGTGTAAATTGCAAACTTAGTTGACCAGACAAACCTGG